GACTCCCAGCATGGAGAAATAATGAACATCAGTGCACTAATGTTAGTAGAAATGGAGATGAAAACACACAAATGGACTTCCCTGGGAATACTTTCTGTAGTTTTGCCTCATGTCAGAGCCACTGCTGAGAGGGAACACTCGTTATCACACCCATTTTTACAAAGGGTAGTAAGGAGGACCCTGAGAACTGCTGACCAGTCAGCCTCACTTTAGTGCCCAGCAAGATCATGGAACAGATCCTCCTGGAAGTTATGTTGAAGCATATGGAGGACAAGGAGGTGATTAGAGACAGCCAGCATAGCTTCACCAAGGGCAAATCATGCCTGACTGATCTAGTGCCCTTCTACAATGGAGTGACTGCATCAGTTGGGCAAGAGCAAAAGATGTAATCTACCTGGACTTCTGTAAGGCCTTTGATAGGCTCCCCCATAACATTCTTACCACTAAATTGGAGAGATATGAATGGAATATTAGAAGGATAAAGAATTGACTGGATGGTTGCATCCAAAGAGTTTCAGTTAACAGCTCAATGTTGAAATGGAAACCAGTGACAAGTGATGTCGCCCAAGGGTCTGTACTGGGACCAATACTATTTAACAACATCTTCATTAATGAAATGATTGAGTGCACCCTTAGCAAGTCTGCAGATGACACCAAGCTGAGTGGTGCAGTTGATACGCTTCAGGGCAGGGATGCCATCCAGAGGGACTGTTACAGGCTTAAGGAGTGGGCCCATGTGAAACTCATGAAGTTCAACAAGGCCAAGTGCAAGGTCCTGCAGCTGGATAGGGCAATCCCCCACATCAGTACAGACTGGCTGATGAATTGATTGAGAGCAGCCCTGTGGAGATGGGCCTGGGGTTACTGGTAGATGTAAAATTGGACATGATTCTATAATTCTATAATACTATGATTCTATGAGAGGAAATGGCCTCAAGTTGCGCCAGGGGAGGTTTAGGTTGGATATTAGGAAAAATTTCTTTACCAAAACAGTTGTTAGGCATTGGAACAGGCTGCCCAGGGAAGTGGTGGAGTCACCATCCCTGGAGGTGCTCAAAAAATGTGTAGATGTGGCACTTCAGGATATGGTTTAGTGGGCATGGTTGATGGTTGGACTTGATGATCTTAAAGGTCTTTTCCAAACTAAACAATTCTATGATTCTATGAGCAATGTGCGCTTGCAGCCCAGAAAGTCAATCATATTCTAGGTAGCATAAAAAGAAGCATGGCTAGTAGGTCAAGGGAGGTGATTCTCCCCCTCTACTCTACTTTTGTGAGACCCCACCTGGAGCGCTGCATCCAGCTCTGGGCCCCCCAGTACAAGAAAGACATGGACTAGAGCATGTCCAGAGGAGGGCCACAAAAATGGGAGAGGGCTGGAACACCTCTCCTGTGAAGAAAGGCTGAGAGAGCTGGGGTTGTTCAGCCTGGAGAAGTCCTCTGGGAGACCTTATTGTGGCCTTTCAATATATAAAGGGGGCTTCTAAGAAAGATGGGGACAGACTTTTTACCAGGGCCTGCAGTGACAGCACAAGGGACAATGGTTTTAAACTGAAAGAGGGTAGATTTAGACTGTATCTAAGGAAGTTGTGGGTGCCCCATCATTGGAAGTGTTCAAGGTCAGGTTGGACAGGGTTTTGCACAGCCTGATCTAGTGAAAGATGTCAGTGCCTATGGCAGGGATGTTGGACTAGAAGATCTTTAAAGGTCCCTTCTAACCCAAACCATTCTATGGTTCCATGATACTCACAATATTCAGAAAGATAATGCACATAAATTTAAATTCTTTCCAATCACATGCAAGAATTATGGCAAGTTTCCCTTAGAACTCTTCCAGAAGACACTATTGGTAGTGTTTCATCCAACAGATCCATCCTGCAGTAAGCAAAGTTTGCGAAACCTGCAATAGTGCACCTGATGGTTTTCTGATACTGTTCCTTGATGGGATCATATCATGACTTCATAGGACTTGTATTGCAAGAGAACTCCTCAGGGTTTTGGAGTTTCCTGAAGGTCATCCCTATGTTTCTTCCCTGCTCTTTCCACTTCATTGTTGCTACATGCTCAATGACCTAGCTCTGATGCTGGTACTGCCTGTGTAGTGGATGGTAAGGCCTGACAAAAACACATCGAGTAGAAGCCAGTTCTTGCCTTGGGAAATCATAGCTTGCTGCTGAATGTTTGCTGATAGCACACCTTGGTAGAGGGGCACTCAAAATACTCATGACATGCAAATGTAGTAATATGCAGTCTGTTCACTGTGCAAAACCATCTCTGCTCAGAAGAAGGGTCAGGGAGTATTACCAGATGGTCGCAGCAGTGTTACTCCTGGATACTTTTACCCCTGGGCAATCAGAAAGATTTTGCTAGATATCAACTCTTGTCCTAGCTGTGGGTGTGGAGATTTGCTTAAGTAAGGCTAAGCTATGTTGCTTTTATTGTTTTACCATTAATCTCAAAACATGGTGTGAAAAATGGGTCTCCCACCAATCTTCTTCCTTCCTCACTGCAATTTGTTCAGGCCACACCCTTATCTCTTCATCGTGGCAATAGTGATGGTCGCCGACACGTGTTGCTGGTGCTGTCTGAACACGTTATGCCACATCGCAGTGTTCGCAGTCACCTGCTGTGAAGGGGATGGATGGCCAGCACTGCTGGATTTTCAAACCCTTAAAGGCTCAGGCGCTGGCCTCAGTGAAGACTTGCTGCAGAAACTTTGGCTTGTGTTTAAAAAAAAAGGCACGTGCACGTGCACACACACGCATGCACACATTCTTTTTTTCTGAAGGGCCCACTGTGTGCCTCTTCATCCTTTCCTCCCACCCACTCATCCCTTCTGACGCTCTCCATAGCTGAGACCACTTGTATTTTATTTAACTGAATTTTCCAGGGAAGGGCATTTAGTGTGTTTTCCAGGCACTTCAGAGCAGTAGGTGTTACTGTATGTACAGTGCCTTAACACTTCTATTGAGACTCATTAGTAAGTAAAATACTGTTGCATGCCTCAGTCCACCAAAGACTGACCACGCATACCCTCACACAAATACCTGCAGTGCACCCGAAGGAAGTTTCACCTTCTGTTGGCCACAGAAGTCCCTGAGCCCTTCTGCTGAAAGCTGCACTGCTCGTCTTCTGAACCTCGGTGGCAAAGGGACCTCCAGGGAGATTTTTTACCTGTAGCTGATGAAATAGTTCCTACCCTTGGTGGCCAGTTGCCCTTTTAGCTCTGAGTGGCCAGAGTCAGTGAGGTTATATGAAGGACCGTTGCAGAAGCTCATGACCCTGACTGAAAGCCAGGAGAAACTCAATGCTCTGACAATGATTATTTACCATTTTCCCATGTTACATGCTGTATTTGGTCATGTTCAGTTACTCTGTAGTAATCAGACAAGATGGAACGGCAGCTTGTCAGCTGATTTAATTAAAACCACATTGCTTTTTTTTTTTTATTGCCTCTCACACATCATTAATATTCTGTCTAAGACGCGCCTGCAATCTAAAGATTGGAATCAGTCTCATTGTGCTCTTTCCAAGCTTGAATTCCCAGACACACAAACCTGGGAAAGAGTTTTAAAGGGACAGGTAATAGTTAGAAGCTAATTTGATTACATTGAAATGGACCAGTCATTGGTCCAAATAAATGCTTATTAAGGGACCAGTCTTTCAGGTTGCTTTTAAATGCAGTGCAGGCTTTGCTTCCATGGATATGAGTGGGAATAGAATATATTTAGGATTTCCCAGGAATCAGGTCTTTGCTCTGCAGACTTCCGCTCATTCAAATGGTTGGTTATGCAAATATATTAAAAAGACTTGAGTAAATAACACTGCACCCTTTTTAGCTTGGTTTATTATTTACATATTTAGCAACAGTGTTGTATCGTCCTTTTTCTGGAATGCCAGGTAAGATCCATTTCACAGTGACAGTATGTCAGCCAGCATATGCACTCGATTTGCAACCAGATTACAAGGGAAAAAAAAAAAAGTCTAGCATTTAAAATTCTATACAGCAGTTTATTTAAACAGCCATTAACTTTCATCAACAGTATGTGCATTTCTGTTTTCTTTAAGAAACCCTGCCATTCTCAATCACAGCTGCAGCCTTCCTGCAGCACCCTGTTACTCAGTGACTTGAACTGAGCTTTACAGATATTTCACAGCCAATTACCGTACAGGTTTCTTACGTTAAAATTAAGGCAACTGGAGTCAACAACCACTGCTGAATGAAGGTAAAAGCTTGAGAACATTTTGCATAACAGTCATCAGCGTAGCTGATAGCTATTACAGTGTTCTTGTGCAGTAAGCCTACGCAGATACTATCTCTCTTGCCTGTCTGTTCCAACATGCATCTCATCTCATTTGCAACCCTTTGCTTTAATTAGCTGAAGTCTTTGCTTCAGCCTTTCATATGTCAACCAGCCTGTATACACTTCCATATTTTTAATCAGTAGCCTGTTGTCTTTACTTTGTCATTCGCAGTAGCATATAAATCTGCCCTTCTTATGATCCTCACTGCTTGGTAGAAGTCAAAACATGCTGTTTAATTTTCCTGTTCACTGATTTCCATTTGTTTCATGTTCAAATGCTGGCTCTTTTCCCCCTTTTGGGCATGCTGTGAGCATTAAACTTAGTGATTAAATGCCAAAAAACCAGTCCTTTTCCCCTTCCGCGCCCACGAATGGGTCATCCTAACCCTCGCTCGGATGCTTTACCTCAACAGCGCGCCCCGTGCGTGTGCAGCGAGCCTAAATGGGGCTGGCTGCCCGGGACCGCCATCGGCTGACAGAGGTTAGCTAACGATGGCTAATTAAACAGGTGCAAAACTTATGTGCCCTCCTAGGGTCGTGACTGTCTTCCTGCTGCTGCTTCTCATTTTTTTATTTAATCTACTACAGCAGAATATTTCATTTCACCCACCACACGGCCGAATCCTGACACACCAAGACTTAAAAATAACCGGACGTAAAAGAATGAGAGGGTGACATGTGGCTGTCCTCCGGCTTTCAAATTTTCCGGTTCACTGGGGGGGAATCCGAGGTTGTCTGTAGCTGTCTGACAGGTGGGGTGGCTGGCCCTGACATCTGTGCCTGTGGCTGATCCCCAAACTGAGCCTGGAGCGTGTTCAGGATGTCATCCAGCTTCTGGTCCATCTGCACGACCTGTTAAGGAATCAGAAAGCAGACGAGCTGTCAAATGGTCGCACGTGCTTCTGGTGAGAGGCATTCACTGGCCAAAAGCTCTGGATGGATAAAGCCTGGCATGGAGTGTGGGCGTCTGAGGAAGACCAGCTCCTCTGAGTTTTGCCTAGCCTGTTGCTCTGGAGAGATCGAATGAGGCTACGAAGTCACAGGGAGGGCTGTAAAGCCGCGTGAAGCGGCAGCAGAAGGACGGGACGTCGGTGGCCCAAGGACTTGACCCCTTGAGTCAGCCATTTTGTCTCTCAGCCTTTTCCCAGGGTTGCCAGCTTCTCTCGGCGATGATGCATCCTGCAAATATCTGCCCTGAAACTCTCTTTCGCTCTTCGGTTTATGGTGAATGTTTTTTCCCACTACCTCTCCCAGCGCTTCACCACCCTTAGTTGTAGGACATCATGCTTTCCATTACTGTCTTGGGAAACGAAACGGCTCCCCTCCCTTCACACTGTAAATAGATGCCTCTGTGATACATGTTACAGTCAGAGATCCTACCAGATACGGTGTTTATTCCCATGCATTGTTAGGAGGACAGCCTACCGAAAACCACATAATAATACCAATGACTTCATTAAAAAAAAAGAACAACTGTTCTATAGGAAGCTTGACGTGCTAATCCCTCCTCTCATTTCTTTGCTTTCCAGCTGAAATTTCTCAGGCATAGTCCCCAGGCAGGGGAGTCTTTTCTAGTTATTATTATTTTTAAGTAGGGAAAGGCAAATCTGGATTTTTTTAAAGGGACGCTGCTCTCACACTTCCTACTGCTTTTGTGACATTCTGGCCTTTTCTAGGAGCGCCAAGCAGGCGTTATCCCGTTGCGCTGCCAGGGCTTGCCTTCACTGCAAATGGCGTCCCGCTCACCCACTGGGACAGACTGGGGACTGGTGACTGCTCTGGTTTGGTCTGATGGCAAAACTGTGGCCAGCATCGTGTAAGCAACTGGGATTGCTTCTAATAATGCTTGAATACAGTGCAGCTTTGTTTAATAGATGAGCCCAAGAAAAATGAGCATTTTGAAGAACATTGGATAGTTCACTTTACAGTTATCTGCTGTGAAACTCTGAGCCTCTGAAAACTGTGATCTGTCCCAGTGGGTCTAATAAACTTCGATAGCAAACCTTTTAAAGTGATATCAGATCTAAACTGAGCTTTCATTAAAAAGGGAGACAGAGAGAATGAGAGAGAAGGATTCCAGCCTTTTTCTGTGCAAAGATAACTTTGGAAATAGCCATTGGCAGCATGGACTGAAAGTTTAGCAGGCTGAGATTGCTTTAAAAACCAAGGCAAAGAAAATCACCTTATCCGCTTTCCCCTCCTCTGCCTTTTCTCACTCCAAGTGTCGCTCCCCTGGGGGCCCCTCAAACCTCGAGGTACCAGGAGCTTATTCATGTTATATCATTTTGGCAACCACTGTTCTCTCCTATATACAACCTGCCGGGGGAAGGAGGAGTGGAGTCTCTCTCCTACCTCACGGAGGGAGAGATGTGCTCGTCTCTCATTTCTACTTTCATGCCAACCGTCTTCTAGTAGAAGAGCCCCTCTCCCTGCATCTGCTTTGGTGTGGGTGTGGGTTATCTGGGGCACTATTTTTAAGCAGCAAGGAGGGAGTATTTAGAGGGTGGGTGACACGGCATAGCCCTTCACTAGGATTTCTGCCCATGGGCTTTCAGGCTCATGGCCGGCACTGCCCGAGCCGTGACCGGAGCGGGCAGGGCAAGGTGTGTGGGCATGGGAGGATGGGGGCTGCTCACTGCAGCCCCCCCAGGTCCAGGGCGGTTGGTGCCAAGCCTGGCTTGGGATGAGTGACAGTCAAACATCAACTGGGGGAGATGCTGACGCTCTCTGGTTGAGGGGAAGGGATGCCAGCAGAGGCTGTGCCCGGCAGAGGAGCAGCCGCTTCCCGGCCAGCCTGACCCCATGCCGCCGGCGGCATCTCTGCCTTTTCCTGCATCTCATGAGCTGCTAGGAGAGCATGGTCGATGCTGCTGTGGTAGGTCTCTCTCTCTGGTGTGGTCACGGACAGAAGCACTGACAGTGCTCTCATCTCGGGCACAACAGCTACACGTTCTGCTCAGCATTAACTCGGTTGGCAGTCTGGAAGTCACTAGTGGTTTAAGGGTTAAGCAGCATGGAATTAATTTAAAAACCACAGCATTTATTTTCTCCTCCATTCTTGAAAAGCCTGTTTGGCTGATGCTGGTAATGACTCAACAGAATCTTTCTTAAGCAGAAGCGTTGCGCAGAGAGAAACTAAAGCAGAACTAATACATTACAGTAGGGTAAAAAGAGGTGTAGGCAGGGAAATGGGATCAGGCAGATGAAAGATCTTTTGGGGCTTTCTTTTGTGAGGCTTTGTTGATTTTGATCTGCACGCTTGATCTTAGATAAGCTATGCCTGCATATTCCATGTCATTTAAACTTGCTGTATTTCTCTGTATTTTGCCAACTCAGTGAAAGAAAGTGATGTAGAATAATTTTATGCACTTTTCTTTCCAGAAGAGGAGGGTAGAGAATGTAAATATTCATTTGTAGGGAGGGAAAATGAGAAATTGATACATAAGGGAGTAGATTACACTACACGCTGTCACACCTTCCACATAAGGATCTGCAAATATTTCCTGAACATTAACAAATGAAGCTGCTCAGTTCTCCTGTGTCAGCCGTATACACGGGAGGGTTTTAGTGGTTATTTTTGAGATTAGAAGCAGGACCATGCAAAATTAAGTGACCCATAAGAAGATGTGGTCAGGGGCAGATCTCTTCTAATTCTTAGCTTTGCGTTTTATACACAGGTTCAAGCCACCACTTTCTGGCTTCAGATGCTCTAAAATATGCCTTACTTTGAACATACAACTAGACTGGTAAAACTTTAGTCAGAAAGACAAATTCTTAGGTATCTTGTCGGATTGGAGCCTGTTAAAAAGGGGTCAAGTTTGGAGGCTGGTTAACTGTGATTAAGGAGTGACAAAAGGAAAGCTATGGACACTTCAAGGCTTGACTGAAGTCAGTAGGATGACTTGCAGGGTTAGGAGACTTTTCACATGGGTGCAGGTTTTTCACAAGAGAGTCCTGGTTTTAGGTTTCTCCAAAACCACCTAGCAGCTATTACTTTCCTTAAGCCCAAACGGAACGAGTTGCCGGTTTTGAGTAACACACCCAGGCAAGCGTGCGGGCAAAGGGTTAAATTGTGCAACATGTTTTTCGGCTGAGTAAAGTGAGAAGCCATCCAGGGCTGGCTGCAGAGTTTCCAGAGAGATGTGATATGGCCCTCGCAGGCTCTGTGGAGACAGGTGAGTTTGGCAGCTGTCCACGGGCAAATGGCAACAAAACTTCTGTTCTCCCACATCACAAAAGCGCTCCGGAGACGATCTATAAAATTGTTAAAATGCTTTTATATCCTTTCAACTGCCCTGTAGAAAGGAGACTTGCAAAAGCAGTTTAGAATATTACACTGTTGTTATTGGGGCTATGAGGTGAGCTGAAGGAGTGTTGAAATGTATATTCATTTTAACATCCCCCCGTGAAAGGGGGCTGGACTCCATGGTGACATGCAGGACTGTTAGACAAATAAAATGTCTTGCAACCAGCTCCAGTGAGTCACAGCAAGCCATGAACGGGAACTGGGTCACGCAACCTGTGGGACGCAGGGCGTCTCTGCCCTTCACCTCTGGCACCAGGTTGGCTTTCAATACCTATGTGCCGTTTGAGGTTGCTTTTGAGCCTCTGTTTGTGAAAGCTGGTGTCTCTAAATACCTCCTTTTACCTCGGTGGGCTCCTGCTGCAGAAATGCCTTGTGGAGAAGGGGACCCTAGGAATGGCAGCAGCATGGAGGAGGAGGGCTGGATCATGCTGGGGATTTGCCAAATGCTGGACAGATTCCTAACTCCCCCGAGAGCTTTTTTTCTGACATGTTTTGCACACGCACACCATAAACAAAATGCACATGTGGAAAACTCAGTTGGAGTAGCCACATGGTCTCCCCCAAATCCTCTCACTTTAAGCCAGAAATATCCCTCCCCCCAGGTTTTGCCTATCTTTTTAATATGATTCCTGGAGGCTGGGAGAGCCAATATCAATTATGCACACAACACACTGACTTGAACTCTTTCCAGAGGAGTAGCAGAAGGGGAAGATGGTCTGCTGGAGCACTGAAGTAAATCTGTAAACCCACAAATACACTCATGTGTTGCTAAGTGGGTGGAGCTTTGTATCAAAAGCTAAACCCCATAAATCAAATAAAGTTGCTGTCACCTCCTTAAGGCTCTGCTCTCTCCCTGCCTGTAGCAGTCCTACATGAACTGATCAAAATGGCTGAGCTGTACAGCCTTCGTGCAGTTGTCTGCAACGTGTCTGGGCTGCTGGTACTGGGGATGCAGCACGACATGGAGGAGCGAGAGAAGACAGCCCAGTTTGTGTTACCAATCAAAATGTCATGGAGCAACAGCAAGTTCTGCTTTTGGTTAAGCTAGATTGACTTTGGCTTCCTGTTTGCCTCACTCAAGTGGGGAAAACTATGAAGCTGTGCCCACAGGACAGCCCAAGGTGTCGTGGCGGGGTGGAGGACTGGAAGAGACACTGCGTTGTTGAGCCCCATCCCCTGCTATTGGAGCCACTGTACGATAGGTGCTTTGGTTCTGGAAGCCCCACAAGACACCCAGGCTTCCTCTCCTCCATGTGCAGTCCTCATCCCACAACAAACTGCAAACCTAAGCATGGATGACCAAGAGCCATCAAAGCACAGTGGACCACAGAAGGCGAGCGAGGGCATTCCCAGAGTCTCTGCGAGGTGTTATGTGATATTTTCCAGCTGACACTGCAAAGTCAACCACACCTGGGGCCAGAGCTGCCGCGGCCATGCAAACACCACATCCCAGCCCAGAGTCTCCGAACCACCAGAGTCCTCAGTTCAGCCCACTGAACACCCCTTCTCTAGCACTGGCCCAACTTTGGGCTCACAGGTTTACCAC